AGACTCTGGTCTTTTATAGTAAGTTTTATTGCAAATTCATGCCCGAGGGCTAATTGCAGGAACAGAAGAAACATATGGTATAAAAACAGATAATTAGAACACATAGAACTACTGATAACTACTAAGAAACTACTAGTAAAAACTACTGGGTTTGACTTCTTTTCTGAAGACAGAGGAAGACAAAGGATCCCACTTTTTCTGTAATTTTTGGGTTTTCGGATGTTAAGAGGAGAGTAGTTTTCTTTTCATTTGTATATGTGTGAAAGTTTGGCTAGAATTTGGAGGCTACGTCAAAGAGTTCATTTCGTTCATTGCTATAGAGGGTACAATTGAGATAAAATGCATTTTGTCTTCCACCGTATTCAAATTTATATATCTTAGGCTAACTTGTATTTGCGTCAGGATTGTCTTAAAATATCAACTTAGAATTGACAGGACAGATACTGCAAAACTTATATAGGCTATCATTGTCTGAAACAGGAGGATTAATTCTTTTCACATATACGGCTCGACAAAATATATTAATACAGTAATCGATGGTTTCATATAATTTTACATGCCTTGAAAGCAGGCACTGTAATAGCGTTAACTGAGGAAAGATGTGTACAAGATATAGGCTATTGCATATAACATACTGCCACGGGGAATTCTAGCCAGATTGGACATAAATATACAGTATACGCTTAGAGTATTAAAAAGACGGCAGTCAATTTCTTGGACCTACATGTCTTACTATTTTACATATAATATAATAGATATTTCAAGACGTCAATATGAGTGACCGTGAATATGGATATGTGTTTTTGCTTGCGATTTGATAAATCAATGTAACCCTGTCAATAAGTGTGTTTTTATCTCATTTCCTTATCTTGAACCTGCTTCTTGTTTTGTTCCGATTGAGGGAACATTTTGTCATAGTTATGAAGATAATAAAGATGTTTCGGTGTGTGTGTGAAGACTCGTCAGTGGATTGAACATATCTCCATTCTTTTCCGATGCTCTGTTCGCACCGCAGGACCCCGAACGCGGAAAGCCCGGCCGAAAGATCCGAAGAAAGCCGAGGAGAAGCGGCCGAGGACGGCGTTCACTTCCGAACAACTTCAGCGGCTGAAAAAGGAATTCCAGGAGAACCGCTACCTCACAGAGCAGCGTAGACAGGACCTGGCCAGAGAGCTCAAGCTGAACGAGTCGCAGATCAAGATATGGTTTCAGAATAAGCGGGCGAAAATCAAGAAGGCTGCCGGGGTACGTAATGGACTAGCGCTGCATCTCATGGCACAGGGGCTGTATAATCATTCCACGATGCCCACGATGGGAGACGAGCATGGCATGGACATGCATGACTAGACTGGGAAGCAAACCTCGGTGGCGAATTCAGCCGTGAAATTGTGGACAGCCGGACATCAAAAACATCCTGAATACGGACAGGCGTGTGTCTGGTCATCATATCGTCCGAAAAAAAGACCCGTGAACTGAATCTCAGTGTTCTGTTTTCTGCTTAAAGTGACCCAAAAGCACCACGTAGCGTTAGACATTTGTTGTTTAGGTTGGAATCTGCCAAAAGAAGCTGTGTCTTAATTTATTGTGACGCATATTTTTGGATGACAGAAAAGGAGAGAGTCTTTGTGAACAGAGAAAAAGAAGAATGACTGGACGGAACAAAAGAATGAATCGTTTGATCACTCTACCTTGCGTTATTTACATATCCACAGCGGACTGAGAATGATGTTATTTTTGTCAGTCTCTGATATTTGTGATTTTTGACGTGTTTATCTGTTCGTATGTCTCTAGAGAATCAAATTGTTGTAAATACCCGTACAATTGCGCGTCGTTGTCACGTGCGAGCAAGTTGCAATATCTCTTTTCCTTCTTTCCTTTATCTTTTTGTTGTTGTTTGTTGTCATCGATATTCGGTGGAATCCTGTTTTCGTGGTAAGAGTTGGCGGTGCGTGTATCAGTAGGTTGTTTTCTTGTGGTGAAACGGACACTTTCCTTCATTCCATCTAAATATACGGTAAACCTTGTATATGTATATTTCAAATTATCTGAGAGAAGTTGTTGAAAAAAGTTGTCGTTGTGTGAAAAGTGTAAAATAGTTTATTAAATATTTCCACCAATGTGTAATACTGGAGTTGTGTTTTATTGTTTATTATCAATGACAATGACAATGACAAAAATATAAGAAGTGTTGAGTTTGTTTTCTGACAGGAGTAGTTTGAAAGGCCAATGTCAAAAGCTAGATCAACAATTAGTGATGGCTGCTTACATGTAGTTTCAATCGTCCTCAGTGCTTTTGATTCACTGATTTGAGCAAAACTCTGACAAATATGTGTCCGCATGCATATGTACCGTGATGCCTACCGCCGTAGACCTAGAAGCAAGATACGCTATTTCTAGATCTTACACTATGTTTAGTCATTTTATGACAGAAAATTTTAGTATCTTTCCGTCGTTTTCAAAAATTGTCAAATCAATTACCCTTTTTGAAGTCCGGAATCTTGCTCTTTATTTAGTCATTTATTTATTCATTCATTCATTTTCCATTTTAAGACATCTTGGTGGTTTAATGAACTGATTTCCAAAGAGTCCTAGGAAACAAAATATGAATACCATATAAAATATTTTAAAAATTGTCCATAGGTAAAATAGCTCTACAGTTTTCATGCCGAAGCGAACAACAATTGGCAAGCGGCATGCTAGTATTCAATTCCACCGTCTCAAATGGAGAAGAAAAGCCCTGAATGCCCATTACGTACGCGCACCGGGTCGCCATGAATAAACAGTCGGGGGCGCGGCTGAGAAAAGACCGGGAGACCCCGCCAGACATACCGTACAGCCGTGCACGCCAGCGGACGGCAATGATAAATACAGTGTTAAGAAGTGGTTCCCGTCCCGTGAACACTTAGAATGCGTGCAGGACCGATTACTCCGGAGTAATACTCTTCAAATAAACCGACAAATCGGGAAGAGGAAGTGTAGAATATGCACGGGGCGAGTTGTTATAGGGCCGGGAATAGAACCCGTGTGCGTGGGTATCCCCCGCGGTGTTTAGCGGGCGATTATGGAACAATTTTACGTCTCAAAGGACCTTTTCAGTCCATCCACAGGTAGGCTCAAGCAGAGAGTTAAATTCAATTAAAGCAATAGCCGGGATCATGGCAAAGTGAGGGGATATGGGGAGACAGACTGTGCCCCTCTTGTTTACAGATTAACTCCATCCGTTAGGAAGAATTCGTTATTTCCAAACATCAAATCTGGTGGTAAATATGCAGGTCAGAGCAGGCCGATTGTGTGCTGCTGATGTGACCCCATGCCCACTCCCCCGACCCGATTCAATAATAAATCTATTCTGCAATATAAAGGGCCATCAATTTTGGCCACAATGGTACAACTCTACAATAGAAACCAACACAATCTCTTGTTCCTCCATTGCATCCCGTTTAAAAGCATTAATTCGTAACAAAATCAGGATGTGAAAAACAAAACCTGTTTTTAGACTTATAGAACTAAACCAAAAGACGTATCATTTTTAAATGGAAACGACAAAAACCGTCCTATCAATAAGCTAAAAAGTCTATTTTGCAAGTTTTTTTCAACATTGTGTCTAAGTATGTCAAATATTCCATTACCTGTTATCCAATCAAAGCAGCTGTCACCGTAAGTGTAGATTTCATCTTTATTGTACGACAGCCTCCCAAAATTACCCTTCTCACCGTCGCTACATTCTTGTTCAGTTCTGTTATGTACATTGAGACGGCACTTCTCTTCCTGTGGACCGACGGGGTGTCGACAGTACCGTAGTTCAGCGGATCCGTCCACCCAGGCGGCGGCGGCTTTGTACCTTTTCTCCCGGCCCGGTGAGGCGTTCCATGCGGTTTCACCCTCTGCGGTCGTCTCGGCGAGCTTAAGTGATCTTTCCGGAACATTATATTCCGGGAAGGACATTATATTCCGGGAAGAACATTATATTCCGGGAAGAACATTATATTCCGGGAAGAACATTATATTCCGGGAAGAACATTATGTTCCGGGAAGAACATTATATTCCGGGAAGAACATTATATTCCGGGAAGAACATTATATTCCGGGAAGAACATTATATTCCGGGAAGAACATTATATTCCGGGAAGAACATTATATTCCGGGAAGAAGGTTTGGCTGATGAAAAAAAAAGATAAATACAACAATACAAGACAAAAAGCCTAAAACACGTAAACAAATAAGCCAAATCGGAAACCTCTGCTTGGAGAGTAGGTGTCACTCTCTGTGTTGGTGAAGTGAATAAGGTTTGGCTGGCGGGAAAAGCAAAAAATACCAGTACAAGAAAGAAAGCCCGATAAAAAAACGTCTAAAACACGTAAAAATGTAAGCCCAAACCTAAACCTCTGCTTGGAGAGTAGGGTGCACCCTCTGCGTTGGTCTCAGTGATCTCAGGTATTCTTTCAAGAATATAATGTTCCATTAATTAAGTCCACATATTCGTATCCTTGGAAAGGTTACATTTATGCAATGATACAAATCTTATAGCCAAAAGAATCGAGCGATGGAGAATGATACACAAAAAGAGAATGTGAGGTACATGCAATTGCAGGATTCGAAATGTTCCTATTCAACGATGAACAAATAACATCTCATTTTGCTCAATTATTCTATGGACCAATGAAACTAAGGCACTTTCTTCTTTAATCACATGGTCACATGGTACGGGGAGGCAGGTATTGGACGTGGTTTGTACGAGTACGTCCTACAACAGTATTAGTAATTGTTTTGGTGCAAATTCATGCCCGAGGGCTAATTGCAGGAACAGAAGAAACATATGGTATAAAAACAGACAATTAGTACACATAGAACTACTGATAACTACTAGTACTAACAAGAATTCCGAGATCTCATACCTCCATGAAATATGGGCTTGATATGTAAATGTAAATTTCCTCTTTAATTATGCCTCCGCATTAACATGATATATGCATCGTGATGTATGTTAACTTTTGATTAACTTACAGATGTCCAAAGTATGACATTCCCATTATTCACCATTAAGAAATCATAGAATTTTTGCATTAATTATGCAAATTAGGTCATAATTTGCATAATTAGTATCTGTTGATGTTCTGCCTGCCATAGGTTACATACATTACATGTATGAAAGTAGTATAATGTAAAACACTGTAATCATAGAATTTCCTCATTAATTATGCAAATAAAGTCCTCATTTGCATAATTTGCATTTAATCATGTACATCTCTCTCTTAGCTACCTACACACCAAAAATTATGAAAATATGTTGTTCCTATCTGGACTTATTGGCTTTTAAACATTTCGCCAGAAAGTGCCCTGCAGTTCCAAAACAAGCTGCTAGGGGGACCAAACTCACACCACTTATTCCTGACAGGAAAAGCAA